CAGCATAGGGAAAATTTCAAAAAAGAGAATGGAAAAGACAAAAAAAGAAAATGGAGGTAAGTATTTAATAGATCAAACTAAATAGTGTGACTAAAGTATCTGACCCAAGGTTATAACCAAGTCATAAGGCCCTTGCAATGCCATGCTGAGTTCTGACTTCACCCTATAGGCCAGTTGTTAGCAAACCACTGCTTACGAGCCCCAAAAGGCTCTTTGGCTCCTTGAGGGTGGCTCTTCCACAAAATAATATGTGTGAGCGTGCAGGTACAATGCGATTAAAGAAGTACCCTAATTAAGTTAACAACAATGTACCTAACTATATAGTTTAAGTTTAAAAAATTTGGCTCTCAAAAGAAATTTCAATCGTACTGTTGATATTTGGCTCTGTTAACTAATTAGTTTGCCAACCACTATTATAGGCCTTAGGAAAACAAAGGTTATTTTTTTCAGTAAAGTGAAGAGATCCAAAAGATACACTCCCAGTGTCCCCAGAAAAGACGGACTGGCAAATGGGTCAATTCAGGACTGGGAAATAAGAGTAGGAAGATTATTCTTAGAGCCCAGGTCTCACTCCTCCAGAGAGCCTTTTGTGAATCCATAGCCAGGCTGCCCCAGAATATCTTACACATAACGAGGTTCAAGACATTCAACTGCGTTGGCCTCAATAGAAAAGCAATCACTCCATTCATTTATACATGCCCAGAGACTTCATAAAATCTACATATACACGCTTGCTGTATGGTTAAATGAGGAAAAGACATATATTTGCTGTGGCTGGGACAGAAAGGATGTGTCCAATTTGAAATCTGTGAGATAAATGCTTGTGGGACACCTGTGGAAATGTCCACCAGAAGACAATGGGGCACATTATATTTGGCAGTAAGGAAGGTCTAAACTGGAAGTATAAATCTTGAAAATTAAGATTGAGAGAGCATGAGGAAAAGTCTGAGCCTGAGAAGGAAAATTTCTAGAAGAGAAAGGATGACTAAAAGAGGGACAATGAGAAAGGTAGAGAGAGGGAGGGAGGGAGGGGGAGGGAGAGAGAGGGGGAGAGAAACATTAATGATGAGAATCGTTGAAGGAGAGGGGAAAGGGAGAGGGGGAAAGGGAAAGGGAAGGGGGGGAGAAAGGGAAAGGGAAAAGGAAAGTGAGAGGGAAGGGAGAGGGAGAGGGAGGGGGAGGGGGAGAGAGAGAGAGAGAGAGAGGGAGGGGGAGGGGGAGAGAGACAGACATCACTGATGAGAATAGTTGATGGGCTGCCTGCAGCACATCTCCTACTGGGGATGAGCCCACAACCCAGGCATGTGCCCCCTTGGTCAGAATCGAACCAGGGAACCTAAAGTCTGGAGGCCAACACTCTATTAACTGAACCAAACCAGCTAGGGCGACATTTTTTTTTTTTTACTGAAACTGTTAGGTAACCATTAACTGACACACTTGATTTAAACTGTATGAAGTCTAAAGCTGATGAGGGTATCGATCAGAGGGATCTCATCCTCACTATCTACATGAAGTACTTTACAAATATCTTACATCTTTGCCATTTTCTTTGAATAAAGAGCATACTTTAGGTATATTTGGGTACATTTGGTACAAGTGAGAATTTAGAAGCTGATAAAGAAAAAACTAGCCCTGATCGGTTTGGCTCAGTGGATAGAGTCGGCCTGGGTCTCAGATTCAATTCCAGTCAAAGGAATGTACCTTGGTTGTGGACAAATCCCCAGTAGGGGGTGTGCAAGAGGCAGCTGATTGATGTCTCTCTGTCATCGAGTTTCTAACTCTCTATCCCTCTCCATCCTCTCTGTAAAAAATCTATTAAAAATTTTTTTAAAAGAGAGAGAGAGAGAAAAGAAAAAACTAGAAAGGTAATTGTCCTCTGGTAAAAATGGATAGAACATGAGATGTGAATCGATGTCACCCACACTGTTTGCTTTGATTATAAACTCAAGAAATCTGCCTCAATATACCAGTTTGTTTGTTTTTTTACCTATGCCTCCTCTCTTGCACTCCAAACTTCATGAAGTTAAAGTCTTCCTTCAATTGTAGAACTCCAAGAAGTTCAATTTGACCTCACAATTCATGTATTTGGCTAAGCAAATTATATGCAAAACTGAATTCTGACAAGCATGTGCCCTAATTAAGATGTTTCAAAACATTTTAAAATATCACCTGAACAATTTTCACTTCAATTTACAGACTATTCAATAAAACAGATCACGAGTCGTTACAAAGTTAGTCATTGAGCTGTATATACAATTTACTTAACAATACCCTACACCAGTGGTCAGCAAACTGCAGCTGTGGCCCGAGAGCCACATGCAGCTCTTTGGCCCCTTGAGTGTGGTTCTTCCACAAAATACCATGGCCTGGGCAAGTCTACTTTGAAGAAGTGGCGTTAGAAGAAGTTTAAAAAATTTGGCTCTCAAAAGAAATTTCAATCATTGTACTGTTGATATTTGGCTCTGTTGACTAATGAGTTTGCCGACCACTGCCCTACACCATTGAAAATAATTCAAATTACTTTAAACACTCAAATCAGACTAGTATCCCCAATATGCTGACATTCTTTAAAACGACTAGAGCACAAAACTCAGTATAAATGTTTCAGTATATTCTTGCAAGGGGCCATATTACTTCACCACAACACATATGATTTTAACTACATTAACTTAGTGTATGAGAACCCTAGTAATAAGTGGTCTCCAATATAATCTGGATTGGCACTACTTGTTACTGGTAAATTTATTGAAGGAAAAGATTCTTTTTCTACACAGCTTTTTAAGTAAACTTTTTTAAACGCTCACAATTTAAACTAAGTTAAAACTATAAAGAATGCCTTCTTAAAACTTTATCATCAAAATTCCCAAAGTGTAGTAAAATAATAAATCACAAATTGAACAGATTCAATTTAAAAATATATAAGGGGGCCGAAACCGGTTTGGCTCAGTGGATAGAGCGTCAGCCTATGGACTGAAGGGTCCCAGGTTCGATTCTAGTCAAGGGCATGTACCTTAGTTGCAGGCACATCCTCAGTAGGAGGTGTGCAGGAGGCAGCTGATCGATGTCTCTCATCGATGTTTCCAACTCTCCCTCTCCCTTCCTCTCTGAAAAAAAAAATATATATTAAAAAAAGTATATATATATATATATATATATATGGGGAGTTGGAGAATATAGTAGCTGTCTGGGAGGGAGGCTGGCTTGCCCTTTGTACAATGTGGGCAAAAGTAGTTTTATAGTTTTGAGTAGATACGCAAAACAGTTTATTCTTCTATTATTGTTTATTAATTATTGTATTATTTTCCAAATGAACTGCAAACCTACTTTTGCCCACCCCTGTATATAATAACTGCATCAGAACTGAAAACAAGAGTGGCACTTACGTTTCTCAAAACTACCTTCTGAAGTATAATATTGCATAACACAGAAAGACACTTTAACAGGAAAAATATCGAATGAGTTATAAAATCGCCTGATAAAAAAAGCAGCAAAATGCTTAAGGAAAGACAACTATACCAAACATTATCATGCCTTCAAATTAATCTGACAGCCATGGATGGGTAGCTCTACTGGTTAGAGGGCTGTTCTCATATGCCAAGATTGTGGGTTCAATCCCCAGGTCAGGCATGTACAAGGATCAAACTATCAATGCATAGATGAGTGGAACAACAAATTGATGTTCCTCACTTGCTCTCCTTTTCACTCTCTAAAAAATCAATTTCAAAAAATTTTTAATAAATTAATTTGTCAAACTATGTATAATTTTAGTAAAACTTTCCAAATTAATGGTAAAAGATGTGAAACTCTCTAATTCAGAAAAATTTGTATTTTGCCTGAATTTCAAAAGTAATGATGGCATAACTATTCCACTCTATTAGAGAGAGCAAGCAGTAAATATCACATCCATACATCATAGTTTCCTGAAATAAATGTTTTTGTATTTTTAATTTATCCTAAACTAACTCACAATGAGGAGGGGGGGAAATAAACACTTTTTCAAATCCCATGTTCTGGTTTTAAGATAAAGAATCCAAGTTTACCGAACAAGAATCCCTATAAGCATTAGAATTTCAAGGATATAAAAGCCCTTTGTGTATATCCCACTATTTTTATTATCAGCTTACTTTGTTTTAAATGACCTACACTATGGCTCAAATGTTAACTTTTAACAGGACTCACTAATCACTTCTATATGCTTAGTCACTGGCACAATCCATGTTTCACGTTGGCTTCAACCAAGTCTTTTGTTTTTATAGCAGTATTAAATGTCCTATACAAGTATTTCTCCTAGTTGTATTTGAAATTCTGTATTAGAGAACAAGCAACAACAGACTCATTGACTACGCACATCCCCAGGCTTCTCCAGTAATACTTAAACCCCTCGGCCAAGAATGCCTTTTTTATGGCAGGTCTGGCCTGGGGAGATGGTAGCAATAATTAATGAAGTGGACCTGTCCTCTGACTGCTTAACAAAGCCAAGGACCTAAGGGACAATAGACAAAAGGGAAGTCGATTATTCTTCCCTTTATTCACTCCCACTTGGGTCATCAACTCTCACCTTCTACAGGCACATGAACTTAGGATGTCAAAAGTAGTTCCCATGAGAGCTATACCAACCTATCATTGACTAGGCTCCTCCAGGAAATTATTACTGTGGTAGAATTCTTAAAACACAAGAACTTCCTCTTTGCCTCAGAGAGTAAGAAAACATGTACAATATTAGTGTGAAGCAATAAATTCTCATCAGTGCTGCAAAAGACTGTGTTATTGTAAATTCAAGAAACTCTAACTTTCTAAAAATATTTTTTAGAATGGGCTAGCTAACATTAAAAAATTTGCCCATGTGTTCTTTGCTTCCATTCTATTTAAACATTTCTAGAGCAAGTAGTTACTATAATGAGAAAAAAAGACCATATATCTGGACCTAAACCTAAATATAAAATGGATCCACAGGCACACTCTTAACTATGTTCCAAAGAAATATGTTTAAACGGCTTTACCATGCAGAGCTATGGCTTCCCGGAAGGGTTGCAAATCAGTCTCTACAGATGAGCTAGTTTCCGTTGAAGTAGCTCGGTTAGGGGACACTACAGTCAGTCTTGGGGGAGCTCTAGAGTTTCGTGGTGGAGGAACTTTCCCACACAGGAAGCTGATCAAATCTTCTCTACGAATAGTTCTTCTGCGCTTTTTAACCCAAGCCAACACATCCTTATTGCGTCGCTGATAGCCAATCTGAATTCCAATATCAAAACTTCGCTGATGGGTGTCCACGCTTTCTGTTAGAGAAAAAGAAAATAATACATGATGACTAGTAGAACCATGCTGCATTTTCTTAAAAAAAAATTTTTTTTTTAACAAGTTAACCAAAATGAGTATCATGAAGTATGGAGCTCTCTAAAAATGCTATTCCCTTAAAAAGCTTGCTATGCTAACCTAATGAAACTAGCTTGTTTAATAATGCTAACAATGGATGAATTATTAAATGTTTATTAAGTACTATCTATACTCAGCTTCATCTGAAAAAAGATAATACAAATATGTATCATGAGAGCGGTACTGCTGTCCCCTTATTGCAAGAGAAAACAGGAATTGAGCATGAAGAAACTTCATGAAGGTCACAGAACAACATATACAAGAGCTAGAACTTTGCTCAAGAGTCTGTGGTTCTTATCCATTAATCTATAAGAGTGGTCCGCAAACTCATTACTTAACAGAGCCAAATATCAACAGTCCAGCTAATTTAAGTTTCTTGAGAGCCAATTTTTTAGCTTAAACTTCTTCTATCACCACTTCTTCAAAACAGACTTGCCCAGGCCATGGTATTTTGTGTAAGAGCCACATTCACGAGCCGCAGTTTGCTGACCACGGCTCTAGTAGGCAGCAGAACCTAACATTAGAAGCCAGAGCTCTGTTATTAGAGACACATGGGCTTGCCTTCAGGAAAAAAAAATAAAAAAGTGAATTCTCATGAATTCTAAATAAAATCATTACATCATTCAATGGATGACTAAATATTGCATATCACTCAGGCCTGGATCATCCCAGCAGCATTCACCATGTTAGAGATACACTCCTACTGACTGGTTCAGCACTGACTGGAGGAACACACTGTAAGCAGCAACAAACATTTTAGAAACAGGGGAAATTAATTCTGATTGACTCCTCAACAAAACTGAACAGTGCGGTGGAAACAAAAAGGTTTCACTTATTCCCCTAGGTTTCATTCTACTCCAATACCAAGTTTTCCATAAACTCATAGCCATTCCAATTCCAGAAGACCTTCCCTTAAAATTTCTGGCCTCCCAGTCTCCCTGTAGATAGATACTTCCCCCTTATATAAAGAACCAGAATCTTATCTTCTATCTATACTAATAAAAGGGTAATATGCAAATTGGTCACAACACCCTCACAGTTAATAACCAGTAGCAGGCTGTGTGGGCAACCAGGCCGGCTGGCAGGGGGGTTAGCAAGGAATGACCAAATGACTGACCAGCAGGCTGCATGGGGCAAGTAGGCTGGCAGGGGGAGGGGGAGGGGGAATAGTTAGGGGCGACCAAGCCAGCTAAGGGGGTTAGTGAGGAGCAACTAGTCTGGCAGGGGACAGTTGGGGGTGACCAGACTGGTGGGGGGAAGGGGGGCAGTTGTGGGCGACCAGGCCGGCAGGGAGGGGAAGGGGCACTAAGGGACAACCAGGCTGACAGGGGGAGGGAGAGGAAGGGGCGGGGGGGGGGGGGGGGGGGCAGTAAAAAATGATCAGGCAGGCAGGCAGGCAGTTAGAAGCCAGCAATCTGGGATTGTGAGAGAGATGTCTGACTACCTGAGATCAGGCCAAAACCATCAGTTGGACATCCCCCGAGGCAGAGAGGGTCCAGGCTGAGCTGAGGGGACAACCACCCTCCCCCATGCACGGATTTTGTGCACTGGGCCTCTAGTTTTCAATCAAATAATCCCTGAAATTTATTTTTAATTGTGCTGCTAAAGCAGCAGAAAACCACTAGTATATCTTTAAAAGCCTGGCCAGTGTGACTCAGTGGTTGAGCATCAATCAACCTATGAACCAGGAAGTCACAATTAAATTCCTGGTCAAGGCACATGCCTGTGTGGGGCATGCAAGAGGCAGCCAATCAATGATTCTCTCTCATCATTGATGTTTCTCTCCCCTTTCTCTCTGAAATCAATAAAAGGCCAAGAAATGTAGATGATTGTGTTAAGTAAAAATTTGCTTTTACAAAAGATCCAGAGATAAAGAACTACTGTAATTTTTAAATATATTTATTTTTACTAGAGGCCTAATGCACTAAAAAGATGTTCAGTCTATAATTAGCTTATTATTATAGAATGATTTCAGAGAGTAAGGGATGGGGGGGCAGTAGAGAGAAACATCAATGAAAGAATCATTGATCAGTTGCCTCCCTACCACCCTCCAACCAGGATTGAGCTAGCAACCCAGGCATGTACCCTGACCAAGATTCGGATTGTGATCTTCTGGTTCATAGATCAACATTCAACCACTGAGTCATGTGGCCCAGCATGGCCTCTTTTTTTTTTAATCCCTTGTCTGCTACAAAGATAGATTCTGAAAGGAGTAGCAATAATCATTGAAGTGCAGTGCCCCAAAAAGAAAAATTCAGACATCACAGAGGCTCTTAAACTGTATGAATTTCAATCATTAAAAAAGATAGCAAAAGGGCAACACAAGCAGATTATTACAAAAGTTATTCCTTACCAGATGATCATTCCTTATTGCTAAAAAATTAAAAAGAAAAATAAAAGTTGTCCATGGGAGCACTCTTAATATTAAATTCCATCCCAATTTTGAAAAGGTAGATTCTAATTTTACAGATATAAAAAGCAGCTTGGGAATAAAATCATTTCTCCAGTATTTCACTACCAGAATAATGGCCAAATTACATGAACCAATGTCTTCTGATTTCTCATTTCACATAAACAAAAAGAAAGCAAGAACTCCATTTTAAAGGCAAATTGTATTTAAGAGAAAAATAGATCACTTTTAAGACTTAGATGAAGCCACCCTTAGAGCAGATAAAATTCTAAAATGATCTTGTTAAGCTATATCTAAACTTTAAGTGTTCTGAAGAAATGAAAGCATATTAAGAGAAAACAAGTCATCAAGAAAACTAAGCCCATCTCATAGTACTTGACCAAAGAAGGGAGAAGAAACACATAATATATGAACCTAGAAGCAACCAGGTTTCTAAAACCTTGCCCTACACCTAAAAGAATTATAATAAAGTTCATAACTGAAGCTTCTCTTTCTCCAAACACAGTAACTAAGAAAATTACATTTTTCAAGAAGTAAATGGAAATAGGCCCAGAACTAGATATACAGAGGGAAAAAAGCTGGGAGCATAAAAGGGACACAAGAAACAAGCCCAAAGCAGGCTTGGATGATACAAAGATGAAGCAGACATGAAAATGTACATCTGGCAAACCAGACAGCAAAAAAGAGAAGCTAAGCCTGATAACAAACCTCTAGTAAGGTGGTTTAAAGAAACTGACCATCCACGAAAGAAAGAGCTTGGCAAAGTTTTGGTTTGTTCTGACTGAAGGCACAAGAAAGTCTCAAAATTTAGTTCTGTGCTGATGATTTAATTGAATTTGAACAAAGTTGGAAAACTCAATATTCACTGGTTTAGATAAGTTATATTAACTACTTGTGAACTTCTTTTATAGTGTATGCAACTGACTAATCATTTCATCTCAAAAATTCTTCACAAGTCTCAATATCCAAACCAACCAAGAGCACACTAAAAATTAAGCATTTTGTGGACACTGACTTTTACCTACTAGAAAACAGAGTAGGAGAAAAGCAGATATAACATTTAAGGTCTTCAGGTACATGCTTTTGCATTGCCTGGATATAACTTAGTTTTATATTAACATCTCCAGAAAACAAATCCAATTACTTTACCACCCAGATTAATCCAATCTGTTATTTTCCCTAAACTGGGATTCTCATTTTGACACTAAAGCATTTAAAAAATATAGTCCTATGTTTAGGACTAGTTACTTGGTTGAAAATAAAAACCCTCCTGCAATACCTTGAACTAAGTAGGAAAAACCTAAATGCTTATTGGAGAATATTAGGCATGACTGAAGTAGCTTTTAACTTAAATCGCAGGTTAATTTAATATACAGCTAAACATAAACACACAGAATGGCCTCCTGAAAACTCTCTGCTAGACTGCTTTAAATATATCTGAATCCTGACAATATCACCCAAATCCTCGAGGTACAACTCAAAGAAACAGTGGGGGACAGTCGTCTAACACCATCTTACTAACACCAATGTCATCATGGAAAAGGGCTATAATCTTGAAGGTTAGGCAAACCTGAAGGGCATCACAAAATGTCCATCTAACCTTTAATCACAACACATTCATTTCCTCATTCAAGAAATACTGATTCATGGTAGTCACAGTTGATATCCCAGGTTTCATTTTTTTTTTTAAATGTATTTAAGCAGCTCAAATTTAACTTGAGAGTTTTTTAGAAGTCTAATCCTCCCACCACTGGCATGGGGCAATCGGCAAATAATGATTTCTGATGTCAAGACCAAATGCAATACTTCCTTATATGATACACAGACAAAATTAATCAGATTTCACTATTCATTGTTTTTCTAATACTCAAAAACCTTATGTGAGTCCACCAGAGCAAATATTCCAATTTCATAAACAAGAAACTGAAACTGAGGTTCGAAGGGTCTTACCCAAAGTTAGGTGGCACAGTTACTTCTTACAAGGTATTTCTACTTCAACAACAGAGAAGCCATTTTCCATTCTTCTTAGAGCAGGGGTGGGAAACGATAAATTATTTGATCTGGCCTTGCCAAGGCACTAGGGGTGAGTTAATTAAATGTTTGATCAAAAATAGCAGGCTAATTTTTAAGTTAATTGTAAATGGCCCTCGAATGTTATAAATATCCAAATGGCCCTTGGCATAAAAAAAAGGGTTCCCCACCCCTGCCTGAGAGGATCTACAAAACCAGAAAAGGACACCACTACATCAAAGCAAGGAATACTTGAAAATTAAATCTGTACTAACCAATGTCTGCCACAGGAAAAGGAAAAAAAAAAAAAAAAAAATCAGAAACAAAGATCTGACCCTGCATGTGTGCCTCAGCTCAATGGTTAATGTGGACCCACACACCAAGAGGTCACTGGTTCGATTCCCAGTCAGGGCACATGCCTGGGTTTCAGGCTCATTCCCCAGTGTGGACATGTATTATCGATGTTTTGAGCTCTCTCTACCT